GAGCCCAGGAGTTCAAGACCAGCCTAAGCAAGAGCAAGACCCTGTCTCTACAGAAAAATAGAAAAATTAGCTGGGCGTCATGGCGCACACGTGTATTCCCAGCTACTTGGGAGTCTGAGGCAGGAGGATTGCCTTAGCCCAGGAGTTCGAGGTTGCAGTGAGCTGTGATGATGCCACTGCACACTAGCCAGGGTGGCAGAGCAAGACTTTATCTCAAAAGAAAAGAATAGAAAAGAAAAGAAAAAAACTCCGGAAGTCCTTGGAGCTGCACCTGCCGTGGTAGGATTCACTCGGGACCCTGGAAATGCAGGGAAAAAACACCCCTGTGGCCACACTCCCACTGCAGCTCCCAGCTGGCTCCCTGGGAGGGAGTGCCCAGCTCTCTTGAAGTGTGTGCTCCCCAAGCATCACTCCAAACTCTGGACACACCCTTCCCTCTGTGACCACAGTGCCCATATTCCGCTGCTGTCCACCACCCCCGAGCCACCTCACATGGCTGAAGCTGCCCTAACAAAGGAGAAATAGGAAGCTGGGGCTGTTCCTCTAATCTCTCAGAGGCCACAACCCCTCCCTAGCTGGACGTCAACAAACTGGGAGGGTGGAAGAGCATTCTCCTCCCTTCATGCCCCATCCCATCAGCTGCTGCCTCACCAGCTACTGACTGCAGCCCTGAGCACCCAGCTCCCTCCACTCTGGGGTGCACCCACCAGAAGAAGGCTAACGTAGACCTTGGATTCTTATAGCTGGTGTGCCCCTCTCTTCACCCTCTTCTTTTTCAGCACAAGAGGAACAACCCCACACCCCAAGTTTGGTCTGCCTTAAGGCACCTCTGCCCATTGCCACCCATCCTACCCCCAAAGCCCCAGTGTCGGTCGCTGTCTGCCCCTGGATAGGGGAGGGGTGAGCTCCAGGGCTGCCTTGCCAGATGGCGAACTCAGAGCTGAGTCCCTGAAGGCCTAAAACTCAGACACAGAAGCACTACCAACACCAGTTCTTCTCCTGCTCCTGCCCTGCCCCCATTCCATGCAAGGAGAAGGCCACCGCCTGGCTGCTACTGAGGCCGAGATCGAGATGCTACTCACAGAGGGCATGGCTCTTGGCCTGGCTAGGTGAGCGTGCAAATCCACATGCAAATTACATGCAAATCCAAGGCCTGCCCTTGGGTTCCTGGCACCCTGCCACCTCTGCTGCCTGTAACTTGCCCTATTCAGGCACCTGGGTACCCGCTAGAATCTACTGGGCTAGGTACGCGCTGAGAAAGCACTTTGGGAACTGGGGGCTCTTCCTCTTGATTGCTTCAAATGTACCCAAGAAAACGTCTTCTCTAAGATCATGTGAGTCCCAGCCTGAGACTCATATCCCCCCCAAAAAAGCTCTCTGAACATCTGCCCTCCCCACTCCTCATCCACAAATAAAATCCTTCACCAGCCAGTGCAGGAGATCAAACAAGTAACATGGATGGAAATCCTAAGACATGGAGAAAGTAAGGAAGGCTTGAGGTCTGCACCCCTCTGTCAAAGGCTAACAGCCCATGAGGTGCTCCAGGCAGACTTCCACCCTCTCTCTGGGGGCTCCCAGCCTGCTCTCCAGGGGCATGCTTCTTTAGCAAGCTAGCAGGGGCCCAAACCCCTGTTCCCTTGCCCACCTCCTCCCCGTTCCTCAGCCTAAGAAAACTAAGCTGCTCCAGCCAGTCCCCTGGGACCTGCTCAACTTAAGTACCGCCTTTGGGTCAACTGCTTACTTGCTTTCTGTTCCTAATTGAGCTCCCCATTCTGCCACAGAAATATATTAAAGGCAGCTCGCTTTGATGCCCAGAAAAACGAAGCATCAGAAAGGTTTGTCGAGCATCACGGCAATTCCATTTTCCCTCATGTTCTTCTAGCAACCAGGGCTTCTCTGCCCACTCGCCCCCACCCCCATATTCACTGGCCCTTCGCCTGCCTTCTCTAAGTTGTGTTTGCCATTTCAAGATTTTAAAAACACATTTCCCCAGTAACCCCCCCCCCTTTTTTTAATTAGACACTGAACAGGGTGTTAGAGATTTTCTTAATGGCCTGACGAAGGCTTTTAATTTGGTCTTCTCAAGAGAGAAGAACCATGAGTCCCCATCGGAGAGGTTGGGGTGGAAAATGAAAAAAAATCAATGCAACCCATTATTTTGGCTTTTAGAAAACAGGAATTTTAGTGCCGGGGAAGCTTGTTCTTTTACACAGTAAAAATGCAAATGCAGGCAACACAGATGCTGGCGCGCTGGATGGAACAAGGAGAGCGCCTCGCTGGGGTTCATCCGGCTGCCCAAACCTGGATTTGTTTTGGCAATAATAAGGCGGTTATTGGAGACTCGATAACCGATTATTAAAACACCTTCCCAGTTTAGTTCTGGGGAATCGGTCTTGAGCTCAGGCTTCATCAAAAAAAGATATTTTGAGAGGAATGGAAATAACAGAAGCTTAAAACACATTCAATAACTGCTTAATTCCATCCAGAGGACGCTCCATCTCATCCTGTTTTCTTCTCCCTCTCCCTGCCTCCTCCAGCTCCTCACAGATGGACGTACAAATTATTGCAAGAGGATATTGTTTTCTGTAACAGGCTCGAACATTCACATTTACATTTTCCTTGGTGCCGCGGGGGTGACTGGCAACGGGAGAGAAAATACACCAAACCCCATCTTTCTTGCGCTCTCTCCTCATCACATCTTCCCCAAGCCGCCTCCGCCACCCCCCTTCCAAGCCACCCCAAGCAGAACAGGCCCCGGGGACCAGCCTGGCACCTAAGACCCAATTAAGGCACCAAGGGAAAGAAAGGCCTGTCTGGCAGGCGCCCTGGCGCCCAACAGACTCTCGAGCCCGTGAATTGCAGGGGCACCAGGGCTCTGCAGACCCAAAGGCGACCGAGGGGCGGCCACACTGGGCACCTCCAGCCTACCCACAAGCCCAAGGCCACTGGCAACTTGCTTCTCAAGTTGGAAAGGATTTTGCCCCTCTGGCTGTCCTGTCGCCTTCTGGGCCTCTTCCACCCCCACCCCCATCTGCTCCCTCCCTATCAAATAGCTTGGGCTTCATTTATTAATGCCAGGCTCCTGGAGGGGGGAGGGGAGCCGCCTTCAGGTATTTGCTGAGAGGCCTCCTCCACTCCTGGGGAATGGGCTGTTCTGGAAGAGGTCTCCAGAGAGTGGAAGGGGGGACGGTTGGAGGGGGAGCGTGTTGAGGACAAAGCTGGGCAAGAGTGTGGCAGCAGCTCTGGCCCGTGCTTTCTCCCCAGACAAAATGGGAGAGGGGTGGGGGGTGGAGAGAGAGCTATTGAGAGAGAAAGCCGCTCCTCACCTTATGTATTTTTAATATTAATGTAATTAAAGCTGTGAGCCCAGCCAGCCTGCGGGGGCGGAGGGAAGCAGGAAGAGCCTGGGGAGAGGGAGACTGGGGGGTGGGGGCTTGAACAGGAGGCAGGCTTCTGCCCTGCTAAGGTGGGAGGATGAAGGGGTGTGACGCCGGGGCAAGGGGTTAAACAACTGAGCCCAGCCTTGGTGTGTTACCTAGTGGACCCCACTGGGTCTGAGAAACTCAACTACTTTGTCCACAATTCCGAGGCCACCCCTTGTCCCGCATCCTGATCTCTCAGCAAAGGCAGCAACACCCTGGCCTTCAGTCTGGCTTTGACCCGGCGGTATCTACAAATAAGGGTTACCCTCCTCCCCGCAGTCCTCCATATATTGCAGTCCGCTCCGGCTCCTGCGGAAGGTTGCAGACTCCAGACCCCTGGGGCTTGGGCAGGGCGGGACTGGACCCCTCCCCAGGCGCCAATCCTCTGCTGGATTGCCCTTCCTCATAGCCTAGGGGTCAAGACTTGCTGCTCTGCCAGGGCAATCGCCCGGACATAGAGGGGAAGAGGCCGCCCCTAGGGCGCGAAGGAGAAAAGTTAGAGGGCTGCACAGGTAAAGCTGAGCTTGTTTGAGCGTGTGTGCTCTGTCGCGCAAGGGCGCAGAGTTCGGCCGCCTCATCTCCCGCCATCTGCGCGCCCCGGGGCACGTCCTCTGCGATCGCCTGGAAGCCCGACCGCCAGCGCCAGCCTGGTTCCGACTCGGTGCCCAGGTGGCTTCGGTCGGAAGTGTCTGCCCTCTTCCCACCTCCCAGTCCCAGCTACCTTGCGGATCAGGTGCGCAGCGCCCCAGCTGCAGGTCTGGACATGCCGGACACCTGGACCCGCCCCTAGCAACCCCTTCTCTCCGGAAAAAGGGACACGCCCCCCAGCCCGAAGACTTGTCCCCAGGTCCGGCTGGCCAGGCGCGGAAGCGGAGAATCTCGCACCTTGGGGCGCGCTGCCCGAGGTGGCCGCGGTGGCGCAGCGAAACCAGGGCTAGCGCCTGGGGCAGAGGGGTGGGGTGGAGGAGGGTGACCTCGGGGTTTAGAGAATAAACTTGCTACCCGAGGGACCCCCAGCTGTCAGGACCCCCAGCTATCCCCGCCCTGCATCCAGCCAACGCTCGGATAAGCGCCATGCAGTGCGCCCGCATCCGTGCCAGGGCGGGGGTCCGAGGCGGTCGAGGGGCGCGCAGAGGTAGAGGGGGAGTAACCGCCGAGTCCGAGCCTCGAACAAGCGAGGACTCCTAGGTGAAGAGTCACGGCCTGAGGACCCATCGACTCGGAGGGTACTCCGGGTCCCAGCGCCACCAAGCCGCAGGAAGCGGGCAAGGGGCTGGGGGAGGGGTCCAGGGTAGAACTGCGGCCCGGTATGGAGCAGGGAGGTGAGGGGCTCCTTCGCCACCACCCCTAAGGGCGCACCCCATAACGGCAGGCGCGGGTGGCTGGCTCAGCGGTCCCGGGCTGACTCTCGCTCGGCCCCTCTCCGGTGCTTGCCCCACCCCTCTGCGCCCGACCCGGGCCGTGCACAGGGGTCAGTGCCCCGGGCACTTGGAGTGCTCCGGGCACCTCGCCTCGCCTCCAGCCGCGCGCACCCCGGCCCCGCCGCCTCCACCGCCCAGCCGCCCGCGCAGGTCTCACCTTTGTGTAAAGAGTCCAGGAGCAGGAGGAAAGTTACCAGCCACATGCCATAAAGAGGCCCTATTCTCCGGGGAGGTGGTCCTGTGGCCGGCCGTGCGGCAGCGCCTCTCCCCCGCTCAGCGCGCTCCCAGCCGCCCGCACTCCGCGCCCCGCTCTCTCTGCTCCTCAGCCCAGCGCTCGGCGGCGGCGGCGGCTCCTCCCTCCTCGGCTCCCCGGCTCCTGTCATCCGCGGGGCTGGGCTAGGCGGCCGCTCTCCCCGCCCCCCCGCGGCACCCCGGGTGGTGATAGCAGCGCCGGCCCTGAGCCCTGACTGCCCCCAGCCCCACAAGCCCAGAGACGGGGGCGGGGCCCAGACCAGACGGCCCCGATCCGGCTTCGCTGTCTGAGAGGCGAGGGGTCCCTGTCCCCCACCGGCTTGGAGCTGTGGTCGCACACAGGCATGTGTCATACATGTGCCAACAGCCCGCCATGCTCGGGCCAAGGACGCCCCGTTTCTACTGGCTCAATAACCTGGGGCACATGCTTCCAACACTTTCAGACTCAGTTTACCCTCTGGGATGGGGGACCGTGGGTGCTCTGGGTAAAATCAAGACTAAGATCTTTCCGTGCCTGGTGCTACTCCCCACCCAAAGCTCGTAGCTGCATGCCCTTCCGACTTCTCCTTGCTTCTGCAAGCCTGCCTTCTGCAGAGCCCCAACGGAGTGCAGCCACCTCCCAGCACTCTGTCCGAATTTTCCTCAGCACTTGGCACGTTGTGACTATTTAAACAATTATGTGCAGTCAACAGTTTAATGTAGCTATACCTATGCAGCTTCCTCCTTATCTTCAGCTACCCACCTCCCATAGCTTTCTCGCCCAGCAGAAATTGTTTTATTCCTTACACGAGTCTACATAAAGCTGGCATTGAGTAGGACTTGAATGAAGGCATCTTCTCATTTACAAAATGAACCTTGAGCGCCTGCTGTGTGCCACACACTGTGTTAGGAGCTGAAGGCACAGGCATGGCTGAGCCAGGTCTGCTGTGACAAGGTGGATACGCTTGGAAAGCTCTCCTTTTGTCTTACTTCCAAAATAAGGGGCCACAGAGAATCCAGAACAGGGATCCACGGTAGCCCTGAGAATGGACTAGAAGCCAAGACGGGACCTTCCCTTCTGCAGGGTCCTGGAGGTCGCCTTGGATGTGCCCTGGCCACTTGGCTCTACCTGGGCACCTGCGAGGTGTGGAGTGTGACGGGTGGAGGGAGGTAGAGAGGCTGCTGATTAGCTCCACTTGACAGAAGAAGAAAAGTTTCTCCTCCAGAATGTCTGGCCTAAGTTCAAGCAGGAGAACTGGGACTCCTCATTCCCAGGTTTTGCCAAAATATCCCTTGGAATTTTAACTAAATTTTGAAAAGCGTGCATTTGCTTTTTTTATATGTTAAAATATACATAACAGAACATGTACCATTTTAACCGTCTTAAGTGTACTATTCAGTGGCCTTAAATACATTCACAATCTTGTGCAAGCGTCACCACTCATCATTTCCAAAACTTTTTCATCATCCCAAACAGAAACTCTGCACCCATTAAACAATAACTCCCCACTCCCCCCTGCTCCCCCGCCAGTTCCTAGAAACCATCATTCCACTTTCTGTCTCTATGAATTTGCCTATTCTGGGTAGCTTATGTAAGTGTAATCATATAGTATTTGTCCTTTTGTGTCTGGCTTATTGCATTTAATGTTTTCAAGGTCCAACCATGTTGTAGCATGTGTCGGAATTTTATTCCTTTTTGTGGTTGAATAATATTCCACCCTATTTATATCTACATTTTGTTCATCCATTCATCTGTCAATGAACATTTGAGTTGCTTCCACCTTTTGGCTATTGCAAATAATGCTGCTATCGATATGGGTGTACAAATATCTCTTTGCATGCCTGCTATCAATTCTTTCGAATTATGTACCCAGAAGTGGAATTGCTGGATCGTTTGGTAATTTTATGTTTAACTTTTTGAGGAATTGCCAGGAGCATTTACTTTTTTTGTATAGTACTTCAAGAGTTTAAAGGGCTCTCACCTGCAGTTGCTCTGTGTAATCCCCACACTATCCTTTGAAATTTTATCAGCCCCCTTTTAAAACAGGTGAGAAAGTTGAGGCTTAGCTTGTTCAAGGTCACTGAGTTTGTATCAAAAGCAAGACTGGAACCCAGGTCTCCTAAATCCAGAGCAGCACTGCTGGCTCCCTGGGTGGCTCCATGATGCCAAATCACCACTCTGAAATGCTTTTTCATGAGATGTTTCATCATTCCAAGACAGGCATAGAACAAACAGATTGCAAGGGATGTTTGAGATGACCCGGCCCAATCTTCTGCTTTTCAGATGAGGAAACTGAGGCCCAAAGTGGGGAAGCCACGGGCCTGCCCGAGGTCCTGCAGGGAGTGACAGAGGCCATGCATTTCCAGTCTCCTGGCTTAGCTCCCTTCCCCCACCACCCTCAGCCTGCTGAGCTCATTCTTCCATCATGCCCCTTCCCTTCTAAAGGAGACGGTCATTGAGAGGAATCCAGTTATTTAAAACTAAGCCTATTGACCCGGAGCACCTGGTCAGGCCATGCCTAAAATAAACCGCTAAGTCAGACAGGATGAAAGGGTCTGCTGTCTGCTGGGGAGGTGGCGTGGAGTGGGTCTGGGGGGTTCAGCACAGCTGCTCCAGCTCCATGCCCCCCCCATATGCTGAAGGTAAAGGAGGACACTCCTTTCTCATGCACCTGAAGTACCTCCTATAACCTGAGTGTCCCTTTTATGCAGATTACATGTGGGGACCTTTAAGGGACCACAACCTGTGTTACCTGAAGGGTAAGGTCTTTCATTGTGTCGGTGACTACAGTCTGGAGGCTTATGTGGGAATAGAGGGGGAGGGCAGGTGGGGAGGGCAGGCTTGGGGACTCCTTCTAGCAAAAGGAGGCTTTATAATGTCAGAGTTAGGAACTTGGCTTCAGAATGACAGAGAGCTGAGTTCTCAGCCCAACTCTGCCCCTTACCAGCTGTGTGCCTTGGGAAATTTGTGTGTGCCGAGCCACAGTTCCCTGACCTGTAAAGTGGAGGCAGCCCCGGCATCAACCTCAGAAAGTCATAGTGAGGGTTAAATAAGGCAAGCCCGGTGGCTGGCACATAGCAAGCGCAGGTAAACATCGCTCACAGTATTGGCTTTGCTCACAAGGACCTTGACCTGTGGGGCTTGGGAGGAGGGAACAGTGCTACTGGGAGGATGTTGGGATGACATCCTGTGCTCCATGCTGTGACAAGGCCAGAGCTAAGGAGTGGGGAATCCAGGCAAGAGGCGGCAGAAACACGGAAGGTGCGCTTTGAGGCAGGAAGACCGCTAACAAGAGAAGGACCCGAAAACAGACAGTCCTTATGCTTTTTGCATTCTCCATTTCCTAGATTTTGTTCCTCCTTAGTATTTGGGAAAATATCTTTGAAAATGACAGGTTGGCTCAGACATGTTCAGAAGCCTCCTCTTCAACAGGAGTTGTGGGGTGGGGAGCTTGCGTGACAGTCAGCAAGAATCCTCTCGAGGGAACACCAAGGGAAAAAGGAACCTCGAGGGAAGAGAGTCGGGAGGATTGTCCCCCCCCCCCAACACCCACCCACCTTAAACCCTGCCGTTCCCTCCACAGCTGACGTTTTGGAGGGGCTGTGTTTTATTTTGATAAAAGGGACAGTTCCTTCACAGTCCCAATTGGATGGAAACCCTCACACCCACACACAAATACATGCACACCAAAGTGAGAACAAACACAGTTGCCCAGGCAAACACTCCCGTATACAGGTAAACATAAACACTTAATGACAGGCACACCTGCGCTTAAATGCAATTTGAACACAATCCAAAAATTCTGCACCAGCACCTATGCATATGCTCTAATCTTTTTTCTATTCCTCAGATTTGTGGAATTCATTTCTAGTAGGGACACAGCCATCCACTTAAAAGCAGTGATTAATTTCAATATTTTGTTGTATCAGAACACTAGGTGATGATTTGGTGTTGTTTTTTTTTTTTTTGCTTTTGTGTTTGTGTTTTTTACCAATGCTGGTTGAAGCAGCTACATGAAGTCACTGGGAGGTGAGCCCTTTCCAATTCAGGTTAATCATGGATATTTAGGGGGTATTATTTTGCCATGTTATATTAAGGCTAGAGCCATCATGAGAAATAACAGATGTTTTTATTGTTTCACTCAAACAATAAGCTTATATATTTTGAAGACTTTTCTTCAAAAACAATGGCATATAATTATTTTAACAAAGCCTTCATATGTGCTCTGAAATTCTTTGACGATTTGAGTATGAATATGCTTTTCATAAAAGCAATCAATACTGACAGGTCAATCTTAAAAACTTAACATTTGAGGTTATATAGCTAATTCAAGATTGACCTTGTTAATACTCATTGATTGGGGGAGGAAAAAAGCAAGGATTTGCCTGCTTTTTTCTTTGATTTGTAATTGATTTTAACATTATAGAAAGAGTCCTGGACTACAAATCAAAAATCCCAGGTTCTAGTGTTATCTCTGTCACTGTAGCCAACTGCATGGTCTTAGACAAGTCACTTTGCCTTTCCCAGTTTCTTCACCAGAGAAATGATAGTGTTGGACTAAACTGATCACCAAGGTCCCTTCCTAACACCAAGGACAAGGCAAACACAGCAAATATGCACATGCCCCAGTCCTACTGGACTTAAGTGTTATCCATAGATATACACATGTTCTCTAATGCAGGCAAAGAAACAGGAATACAAATGTTTATGCATAGACACAAACAAACAAGCAAAAAACCTTACACAAAATAACCAGTTTTTGATTCAAATGCATACACATGTATCTAAAATACTTCTGTCTTCTTGAGATGGGATGAATTGCTACGATTCATAGACTATGATGCCTATATACGAAAGTAGTATCATTAAGTTTACCCACGTGCTCCTTAAACCAAAATTCTCTCTGCTTAGCCCAGAGGTATCTTTGCCTCTTATCCTCTCAGCATTTTGGATTGTATTATAACATCATGGTTCTGCACTCACGAGAGCAAAGGGTACAAAGCCCTGAGGGAGGTGGGGTCTCTGGGGTCCCACGGCCCTTGTTCAGGACACTGTCTTAGCAGTGACCCCAGGATGGTTGGTCAGGGGCCGTGAAAGCCACCAACAAGGCGGGAATCCCCTGAGCAATGATGGCCCCTCTCCAGCTGTTCT